CTATGCGGCCATTTCATTGGTTGAATGGGATCTTAAGACGACCCAAGACCACACTTAAGACGATCTTGGATATAAGAACGGACTATGAATACCGGCCTTAGAACCAACGAATCAACGTCAAGTGTTGACAAGACGATAACTGAGCGCTTTCTCTGCTGAACGCGGCCATTGGCCCTGACGGGAGAGGTTCCTTTGGACACAGTGCGATTGGACACAACCATTCATATCGACCGGTGCCTAGGGTAACCAATGCGATTGATCAATCCAGTACTTGCAGTGCATAACGGAACACACTCCCAGTATTATCAAAAGTTATGTTTATATCATGAAGGAAGAGTAAGGAGAGTTATCTACCTAGATTGAAAGTGGTCACGATAAATGTTCCGTATGTGGCCAGGTTTGCCGAATGGAATAACTTGGACCATTTCGTCGCCATCTTGAATCTTCGTATATATATGTGTTATGTTGGTTAGTAATAAGCAAGTGCGTAGTGTGAATGATAAATAATTTTAATAATATATTTTAAAGTGAGTATAGTTTAGTTACAATTTTATTTGTAATTGCATGATATTATAAGATTTTGAAGAAAATTATAGAATTTGCTTTAGCATAAACTTTAACTAAATTTTCAGATTTTATAACCTAAAATTATTTGCATGTCAAATGGATTAATATTAATATTTAGTTATGAGTAATATCTTTTATGTTATTAATAATCAAAATGTATATTTTCTGAGTGTATTCAAATATTAATATAAATAATTTTTAGTGGTATTAATATTTTTAGTTTTTTTTTATAAGATAATTTAGATGCATATTTTAATATTGTTAATTTCTATCATAACATCATAAACAAAAATTACAGATTCATGTTATGCATTAAATAATATGTACTTTAAACAAAATGTACTAATTTCTTTTACAGAGTTACAAATTGTCATGGTTTTGTAATTAAAAGTCAGTACAGAGTAGAAGAGAAAATAAGATGTTTGGCTTGTAAAAAAAGTTGGAAGATGTTATTAAGAAAAAGACATAATTTCACACTAATGCAAAAATTAAGAAATAAAAATAAAAAATTACAAGTATCAAATTTAAATTACAAATTCTTAATATTACAAATACGAGTCCTCAAATTAAAGAAACAAATGCAGTTGAAACTGTGATACAAATGAAAACAAATAGAAAAAGGCGTAAAATGACTATATAAAATCGTATAAAAATAACTTCTACGTAATATTAATATTTTTATTGATTACAACTAATTTTGCGATATGAAAGGCATTATTTCTTTCGCATATACAAATGTAATATCAACTTTAGATACTGCAGAATGTAAATAACACGAAATTTGAATTTTATGCGATTGGTGTGCCAAAAAGTTCGCGATTATGGTAGATTTGAATGAGTACAGAGAAAGTGTACGACAAATTAGACAATATGCGGTCGAGCATAATGTCTCGGAAGCGCAAACGTCGGAAATATTTCGAGAATGTTTCCGACAATTGGAAGCCAAGTATTCGAAGAAGTCGAATAGAGTATTGAGACCTTTGCGATTCGCTTTCTTATTTCTTCTCATTTCGATTGTATTGTTACGTTTGTGCAATCAAAGATGGTTAAATGATGTATTTATAAGAATCTCACAGAATTCCATATATCCTGCTTTATACGTTTTACGCAAATTGGCTATACCCATTGTTAGTTTATATCCATCGTTATCTGGTATGTGATCAAACAACAATATTTTAATGTGATATAAAAATATCCAAACATAATATTCAAGAGTATTTTATAGTTTGATACATGTTTTATGTTATTATTACAGAATTGTACGACGAGTGGTGTCTGATAGAAAATCCATATTTCTCCGTGAGCGACATCGACTGTTGGCCTTGCACTATGGTTTATTCCGTGCCAGATTTAACTGGTCACAATATCAGTAGATCATTCAATGTTGGTATACCATATACTAGAGCAGAGAATAATACAAAAGTCAAAATGAAAGATCTGATCGATGTATATTGGAGTAATCAAGATATCTTTGATCAGGATGCTAGAAGAATCTCTTCCAACAATGAAACTTTTAAGTAAGTTATTATGCATGCCTGTTAGTGTTTAAAAGAGTTTCAAGTTATGTAGCATACTTTCAAATTAAATTCTCAATACATTTACATCTATACGTATAGAACTATCCACGATGCAATGAGAAACAGACTAGATGTATATCCGACAGATTCACTTACTACTCATATATCTTGGAAAATAAACCGTATGAAACCTAACAGAATATTACGAAAATTATTCCCAAAGCCAGTTGAGACTCCAAATTGGTGGAGCCAAGGCACGGAGAAATATATTTTTATCGATGAATCAGCATCACCATCTTACCTACTGGTATGTAAAGCATTCTCATAATAACTTTCTTGGATATAATAATCAATTTATAAATTTTTAGCCTAATCCTGAATGCAGTAATATTGTGATACGATGCGTGACTGGTGCAAGGTTGATAAAAATGATACCAAGCTCAGAATGCATTCAACATTGTAGATCTTTGACTATTTTATTATCTGCTGGACATACATGTAAGTAGAAATCAGAGAAATTTTTGTAGTTGATCTTTTTCTTTTCACTGTTATTTTTGTACAATTTTTCTTTTATGTTTCTCGTAAGTATGGTACAATTGGTGGTATTGGAGACCTGTGAGTCTGCCAGTGTACAATGCTACTGATCTTTCTATCGGTTATCTGATTTCGTTTTGCTAGTGCCATCAATAGAAGAAACTCGTTGTCGATGTGCCAAAGTGATACAGCCAAAGATAATATAAAGTCGCATTTAATAAAGTTTATATATTATGTTTGCATGTTTTTTATTTTTTTTAAATCTCGATTTTATATATATATATTCGCGATTTTGCTCAATATATATACAGTTTCTTGCATATTTAGATTTCGAGTACAGTATTATTTTTCCTTTATAACAATGAACGAAATAAAAAGTAAAATTCAACAGCCTTAAACAGAGTTACCCGAGATTATTTCTCAATATGATATTGTCTAAAATGTATAGGCGTATTTGTGTAACAATTATAATAAAATGAGTTGACTTTCTATCTCTGCCTGCACATAGTTTAAATACGTTTTTATATGACAGCCGCATAATCTAAGAAATACATTTGCGTATTGAAAAATAAACTATAATAATAATAAATAAATTATGCGCAAATTGTGCTTGTGGGATTTTTTCATATTACTTTACATTCAAGTACATACAAGTCCATGTATCCAAATACTAGCTTAGTAATTTTATTTGCAATGTACCAAATACTAATATTTGTATTACATGATGTGAGAAGACAGATTCTAATTGATCATTCTCTCAATGTTACTCGCGTCTCTTATGACTTTTTTAGATTCTTTAGGAACATCTCTAATGGTAGAGTATTTTGCCCGTTTCAACAAACGTAGTCGAAATGCTTCTGTCTTCTTGTGTAATATCGGAATGTCCCCTTATAAGAGCACCGTCGATCTAGCTCTTACTCGAACTTCTGCTTGAGCTTCTGCTTGTATAGCACAGGCAGTAGAGAAAGCAACGCGAATACGCACAGAATAATTATACTATTCCACGACCACGCGTCGCTCGATGACGTGAGCTTGTGTAAAGTTTGACCTGCTTGTATGGCAACGAACGAGGGCGGTGCGACGCCGAAGAAGGTACCTATAGTGAACGGTACCATCGGTACGCCGATCACTGGACTGGCCAGATTGATGAACCAGTTTGGCAGTAACGGCGTCATCCTGAGAAACAGCATGTAATTCAGCAGATTATGATGATGCCTGGCAACAGTGATGGTCCACTCTTTCGCCTTATCTGGAAAGTATCGATACAGCAATCGTCTGCCCAGTAAAGAGGACAACAGGTAACACAAAGTGGCACCGACTGCACTGCACGTGCACACGAGTAGCAGCGCAATTGGAAAGCGAAACAGAAATCCCGACAGGATCGAGAGAAAGATAGAGCCGGGAATGGCGAATGTTTGTAGGCTATCATTAAGATACGATGTAAGGAGCATAATGTGTACAGTTTAGTAAAATAAATCAAGCAGGATATGTAAATTGAGTATTGAAGGATACAAGATGTAAGTAATGAACAGTCCGGCCAATACTTGGAAATAATATAGATCCTTGTACCGTTCTAATAACTTTCCCAGATTCTTGGCATCCTCTATATGAAACGGCAGCTTCATATACTGTTTCTCATGTCTATAAAATATATGAGAAAAATCTGTATATGCATTGTATATTTGATATAAAATGTACAAATATATTTAACAAATGGTTGTTCTTACTGTTCTAATTCTGGGAAGCTCGTGTATACATAAAACAATGCAATCAATGAAGTTATGAAGATGAGTCCAACGGTTAATACTGCTCTTCTCGTTGAAACTTCGCCATTGGTTGCTTTTGGTAATATTATAAATATACAAGAAAAAAACAAATTTTATTTATTCTAATATATAATACGAATTTTAATATATGTGATATTTGTGATTAAATGTAAATTAAAAAAAAGTAATCAGATTTTAAGATATAAATAAGAAAAATTAAAACACTAGATTATACATTGACAGCATTTGAAATATACATGAAATCTATAGTGTAAAAAAAGGGATATTTGTATAGATATATACACATAATTTCATGCATATGCATGATAAATATATACGAATCTTTTATATATTACTCGCGTGTTTTTACGCGTGTCTTTTCGAAAATGCCATTTCTGAGGATATGTCTAAAGAAAATATTTTTCCTGACTCTTTTCCTCTTCGCATGATCATGTCTCACCTGATTTCGCATCGACTTGCATGTTCATCTCTCTTTCTCTTTATTTCTTGATATGTCACTTCCACGAAAGATTTCCATTCACCGCGCGTTTTCGGCTTCGTTTCACCCAGTCTCAGCGCATCTCTGGTAATTGATATAGAAATATATGCGCGGGCGGATGACAGAAATGAGAAACACTTTCTCGAAGGGCTGAAATGGTTACTCAACGATAAATGCCGCGGGTTGCAATGATCAGCTGATCTGCCTCGTGTTGTCTCGGCATTGGCTCGGGATTTTTCGTGCGGCCATTCACAAACGGCACTAATTGCGTGAGACGCTGATTGAGAATCACAGCATTGATTTAAGTCACTTTCGGGAGCGCCTTAAGCATTGTTTAGCGGTTGTCATGGTAACTATAGTGTCTTCGGGACGCGCATCATGCCTCATGCCAAACCATGCTAGAGGGGATAACACAATAGTAGAAAATCATGTTAATGTGAGACATGTGTACGGTTTTTGATCGTGTGTGTATATCTCTACCACGGTGTGGCGTGATGTTCACGTCCCGATGTTCCAAAATGCGCCATATATATGATGGATGATGATAAAAATGTGTGAAAACGCAACAGAAAATAGATACATTAGCTCCCTCTTTACTTTAGGTAAGGTTCTACTGCTCTTTCTAGATCGGAGGATAATCCTACTTGTGACTCATCCGAGTGTGTAGTGTAGACGGGCAAAAATCATATTAAAGTTAGTTAGTTAATCAGATGAGTCACAGTGCCACAGGATCATCCTCCTACTAGAAAGGGCATACGCACAATAGAGAAAATATTAGCAATAGGAATAAATATTAAATATTAAGAAGAGCAATTTGAAATTATATTCATAATTTTTATACGTTAATCAATTCCGTTCCCTGGTTTGAAGTAAAATAATTATGCATATATTATTTAATATATTTTTTAATTATGCATATATTATTTATATTATATTTTATGATAACATATTGATAATCGACAAGGTAGTAATCGACGAAGATTAAATATGAACAAACCGCCATGCTGCCAATCGAGAGTTTTTAAATAAGAAAGATGGCGTCAACAGTCATACGTGTATCACTCCGCTCATTTTCTTCTTCCAAATTTTGAAGCGATAAAATCATCGACGAGATATGATTAAAGACTACAATGTTCTTACGGGATTTAACGTGGACTGGAAAAAACTCGCTGCGCGCTATTATAGATAAGTAAATCTTTACATTGTGGATAATAAAACAAAATAATTTGGTACAATAAAATGTTTATTTTGTTATTTTTGAGAGAGCTACATAAAAGATCTATACATTTTTGATAATAAAACAATAGCTGAATGAGCTGAAATAATCGTATGATTCAAATAATTAGTGTAATTATCTTCAATGCAATCAAAACAGCCGGTAATGTTATCAATCTTCTATTATCTCCGAATCCACCGGATCTTCTAAATTTATTGTTACAGTATGTTTGTTCATATTATGTATATTGTATATTCTACATTTATATTTTATTTCAGTTTGTATACGATGCAATCTCTACGCGCGTTATTTGGTGTAATAATGTAAGAAGAGGAATACCGGAAGTATATGGAAGGAAAGAGAAAGAGAGAGGGAGAAAAGTGGAGGAAAAGCACGTAATATCTCCCTTTCTCTCTCTCTCTCTCTCATGTCGACGACAGACCTGTCTACCAAACGGAACGCAGCGAACGCATGTCAAGCTCACGCGTTAGATACGTCACACATGATGGTACTTTGGGATATCCCGTCGTAAGAAAGAACAGGAAGCGGGGAGATGTGTCCTGGTGTGAGCCCGCGGGAAATATGCCGATAAACTCACAAGAGCGGATTCGGCAAGTACCAATTTATATATTTTTTCAGATTGTGTACTTGGTCTTATTACTAGAATAATATTAAATTAATCAAAGATACATGTGTAATTATACGTGCTATTTTTGTATACGTTACTAGATAATATTAAAAGTGATGTAAAATACTAGGGATTCTAATAACATATGTTAAATTAAATTATATATTAGATTAATTAATATAATTTAATAATTTATTAAAATTAAAATTTTATATATAGATTTTAAGTACACTACTAACAAATTAAAATATCATTAATATTAATGTGTATATGTGTGTGTGTGAATCTTGAAAAAATTTTTTTTCAAAATGATGTGTGAATTATAATTAAGATTCACACACACACACATATACACATTAATATTAATGATATTTTAATTTGTTAGTAGTGTACTTAAAATCTATATATAAAATTTTAATTTTAATAAATTATTAAATTATATTAATTAATCTAATAAAAAATTTAGTTTTGAAAGCTTGTAATATGCGTGTGAAGCTATAATTAGGATCTTATATTAGAGAAGAGAGCATATTAAATAAATTTAGATTAACCCAAATAATAAGAAAAATTATATATTTATGGAATTGCATCTAATCTTTTTTTAAATTATAGGGGTTTACTAAATTTTTGCACCGAATTCTCCTGCGATTGACCCATTATCGCCTCTGTTAGACAGACTTCTGTGAGTGAGTAACGTACGTATATCTACGCTTCGTCACCGTTAACTAGTCTCTCGTTTCTCCTCCCATTTCCTTCCGTTTCCCTAATTTCGTTTCCTGATTCGTAACGCTCGGCGGACGGCGAGTCGTGAACGCTGGTCGTGAATGAAACGATATATTACGTCTACACTCTTCGGGGTATAGGGTTATAAGAATAAATTTACACCTATAAGACTCCGGTATCGTGCGATCGCACCGGGACCTGGCGAGTTGGTAACGAGCCCGCGAGAGCCCTTCCTCTTTTTTTTCCCCCGAAATGGTAGACCGCGGTACATCTCGCCGACCAATTATTTATACAATTCGGTAGCGTGCGCGCAATTTGCGCCTTCAACAACTCGGCAGATTCACTGGGCAGATTAGGCGTGCCACGTGCTTACCCACGTACAGCGACGATAATTAACCGAAGAATGCAACAAAGTCGTAATGAGATCGCGGGATACGCGGATACTCCCGATGATTAATATACGGCTTAATATAATTAAGTCGCATATATCGCTCTAATAATATCTATCAGTGACGGCTTCCTGACTTCTTATCTCGACTGTGCAATTAATATTTTACTAAGTAAAAGAAATGGATCGCGAAAGATGTAACTCTGACTAACGAACGAAAAATGGTTTTTCACTCATTGTTAGAGAAAGATAGAATATCGATCGATTTCCGACAAATCGTCGAAAACGTTCAATACGATTCTACTAAATTAAAAAATTGACAGGATAAATAACATAATATTGTTTGAATTAATTGCAAATCTTTGCTAATGCTTAAATATATAAGACTTCTTAGGATTTTTTAATTGAAAAAAGATACAATAACGTATTTTTTTTTTTCATCTGTTTTTTTTTTCTTCTTATTCTCATTAGCTAGCACAATTTCATGATGTTTTTCGTATGAAACTATTATGTAGATAAATATGTGCATAATTTTCAAATTGGAAATTAAAATCAGTATGCGTGTTCTTGATACGCGTAATAATCTACGCATCACCATTAATATACATATCATATATGTAACAATGTTTTTAGAAATATATCGGAATCAATATAAATTTTTCCAGTTATTACGCGTTTCTTATTTTCCATATAAAAACGTTCACACGAAATTTGTCAAATTTGCATTAGTACCGTCGAACTCCGTCTTCATTCTCCGTTTGTATTACAGATAATCGAAGAGCCGACCAAGCGCAGCATCTCGCGGTCCAGTCCGGTTCTAGGGTTAATACCACTGTGGAATGTAGAGGAACCGGACTGCAGAAGACGCGCCTGGAGCAGTCCAGGTTGTTATCTCCGCGGGGTTAATCACATCGCAGGTAAGAAAAGATCGTTCCTATAACACAAGAGACATAAGAATGCGTGCAGAACTCGTCCAACTTTTCTAGTTCCCTTGAATTCTCCATTTTGTCTTTCTTTCTCTGTTTGTTGATTGATACCTTATATTATATATTATATAATATTTAATTTTAAATATCTTTAAAGATTCCTGCAGCTTTAATAAGCTGCAATTTTTGCAACTTTAATTGTTCTTGATTTAATTGTTCTTCTCGCTTCTTTCGTAATTGCTTCGTAATATATTTTTAAAATTGTTATAAATGAAATTTTAATATCTTTAAATACTTGTACATTCATCTTCCTATATTCTGGTTCAAGATTTTTGATCCTATATCTTATGTCTATGTGTCTTTTAAAAATTGATTTATTATAATATTTAAAATATCTGCTCAGAGAAACTTAATATTTTTTTATGTTTAACAACGTAACATTCTTAAAATATTTGGCGTAAATATTAATCTTTACTGATTTCGGTAGAGTCTATAAGGAATTACGTATGCCATTCTTATAAATTACTTCTTCTCTCGGTCGCATAATAAATCACGGGGGCGCTAATAGATTGCGGGCCTAGAGCAATAAAATGTTCCTGTGTGTCTCGATATTCTTCTCTTCAGATTCTCTATCATTTTCTCCCTCTCTCCCTCCCCCCCCCTCTCTCTCTCTCTCTCTCTCCCCATATGTCTCTCTCTATCACCCTCTCCCTCCCTTTTCCTCTCTCCCCCTTCTCTCTCTCTCTCTCTCCCCCTTCTCTCTCTCTCTTACATACACACACACATACATTTTTTTTGTAATCCGATGAGTGAAATCTTGGCGCTCTTTCGTTCCCGTCCGTCCATCCGTCCGTCCGTCTGACTCACTGCGACTAGGTCGTGGGCGGAAATCAGTATAACTCAACGGACTAGTCGCGTCGCGACCGCGCGATGGTACGGACGTTTCTCGCGTGTCGCGAAGAATCTCTCCGGATGTCTCGCATTCAGTCTCCCTTCCCTCATCGTTGTCGTCATTCACCGTCACGTAGAATGACAGCGTGACAGCATCGCGACGCTGAGGCGTTCTTTATTTTTCTTTTATTTCCCTCTTTTTTTTATTTTTTTATCGATATACTACCGATTATCGTTCAGTGCTAGAAGAGAAAGGAGATCCCCCCCCCCCCCTCCCCTCCTCCTCTGCTGTTCTGTGCGACATAGTGGCGATCCGCGGAAAATTGTCACTCGGGGCTGCATCAACGCGCCCTTTCTCTTCTTCTCATTCTCGGCTACGTCGCCTCGGACATCATTATATCATGACAGACACGGCTCCATCGAAGGCATCGTGAGTACCCTGCCGTGTTAACGTGCGGTTGATGATGTTGATCTGATTTGAATGGTGCGACAAATTGTAGGTATTTTGGCATCGGCGATAGCACTAAGATCGCGCGTAAGAGAAGCTGTATCGTAATATATTCGATGTATTTAAGGTGTTCTATTTTTTATAATTCCATGTTATGAGAAATAATATATCTTTACTAATATACGTATATCTTTAATAATATATTATAAAAAAGATTGGATCGACAACAACACATCCGCACGCATACAAATCGAAGAATCTCAAATTTTCAAAGTCGTAAAGTTCTTATTGTTTCATATCCTCTCTCTTTCTCTTTTAAAAAATGATTCCATTATATGATACATTATGTTTTACTATTATTTCAAGATGACTATTATTATATGATTTATTCAGCTAACTCGTTTCGCTACTCTTTCTTTCTCCGTTCGTGTTCTTTCTGTATAATTATTTCTTTCGAATTTATTTAAATGTGTCACATGATATAATACTACCGAAACTTTAAATCAAGGTCGGGAAAAAAATTAAATAATATTTTAACGCGCGAAATATTATTTTCCGACATGATATTGTTCAGAACACACATGCGTGATAAATAATGTCGATTCGTGTACCAAGTTCGTGCGCGAGACATCAACGTGTGGCCAGTAAAACAGGTGCGACGACACTGAATGAAACTCACGTGCTAAAACTCGCAATTCGAATTTGCATTTGACGCAATAGACAGAAATCGCCGTCTGCCGGTGGCGAATTCGTTGCGAAAAATCATGAAACGAACGATTGGTCGATTTCCCGAAATCCACCCCGTCGAGAGAAGCCGCTCGCGCGCGCGAGAGCTATTATCATCATCGCGCGCGTATCCGTTACGCGTTTTCGATCGGCGCCGGTATATAAAACACGTGGCCGGGATCCTCGCGCTAAAGTGGAGCTATTTTTTTCGATGTTTATTGAAGATCTCGCCTGGAAATAAACCGCGTACCCCCGGCGCCTTCTCGTGGAAAAGCAAAAGATAGGCAATTGCCGCCTTTCTTCTTCGTCCCCGCCCTCTCTCTATCATCTCGTACATTTGTATTCCGTCTATTTTAAACTTCTACCGTTGAACACTAATAACAATTTTTTTTTTTTAATTTGTAGTTACTAAGAACTAATAATTTAATTCTGATAACAGATTACTCGATCAGACTGATATGTTCTCGAAAGATACCGATATAAATGATTCGAAATAATTTTCTATCTGATCTAGAGATGTTCAATGATATATGTTATATAAAAAGTTAAATATACATTATATCATATAGGATGTTATCATACTACTGATCTTATATAACTTGAAATATAATACATATAACTTGATTATTATTTTAACTTTTTTCATGTACACATAGCTGTAGGAAAATTTAGATTAAATATTTAATAAATATTTCGTTTCGCTAAAGTTTATTTAAAATCATAATTAATAGTGCAAGTCCTTCTGTTTTCCTTCATTCAATCGTATAGTTGAAACAAAATCCACTTCTTCATTCTTTAGTCGGCACGATCGTGTAACGGCCTTTTGTCGCCATCGGCACGGACGTGTGTCCGCGAAGTATTTAGGTTTCCCGTGTTGTGCGAGCCACGTCCTCGTGTCACTGCGGTCACGTCAATAAGTTCTTCGAAAGCGCCTTCGAATCGTGCCTTCTCTCGTCGCTCGTCGCTCGTCGCCATCGAAGAAGATCGTAGATAAACCCGTACGCGAACGTTCCGTTCCGATCGGGAGAGGATATTCGGCCCGCGCCAGGTATACGAATAACGTGGAACTCAAAAGTGATACTCGATCGTTCGTGGCGTTTCAACGACATTTCTCTCGTAATTGATTAATGATAACGAGAACTTGTCGTTTTTCTTAGAGAAAAATACATGAAAAATTTATTTGCTCCTTTCACCATCATATTTGTCGACCGATTTCTATCTTCCGTGTTGCGTCATTATTTGATTTTTTTTTTTTTTCCGTAAAAATGTTTATCGATGATCTATTTCTCATGCAAGTTATTGCAATCAATTCATCTCTAATCTATAGAACTTTTTATTGTAATAATGGAAAAAAATTTATCGCTCTCTTCATCCACAGAATTTTCTATCATAGCTTTCATTCATTCATATACGGAATGTTTCTAAATTTAGCGCATAATCTTTTTGCACAACGATTTTCTTGCCGGAAATAATTTTATAGATAAGTTACGATCATTATGATACGAATGAGTTACAATAAAGTTTGTATTATAAACAATTCGAAAGAGAAAGATTTTTGCAAACTGGCAGGAAAGGTAGCCCCATTTATTTCCGCGGAAATATTATTACGCAAATGTTTACATAGAATGCGCATACATGCATTATTATAACTGCAATATAAAATATCACAGTTCGATCTTCTTTTCTGGTCGCGCAAATTTCTCGGGGATGATGAAGCGCTCCAAAAATCCAAGAGATAGGATCATAGACGGATCAACTCTTCCGCTCGAATGGGAGCGTCAATTTACGCGAAAGCGTGGGAGAAATAGCGTTGAAAATATTTTTAATCGTACGAGATGGAAATCTAGATATTCCAAGCACGCGATGTACGATGCACGGCGACGACATCATCTTGCGAAAAGAATCTCGATTAGCGTACATACAAGATTATTTATCACGTCGACGTTCACGATCCGCAAAATTTTCTCATCGGTCTTGGTCTCTTTAATTTGATCCTTTTTTATTTTATCCTTTTTATCTACAATCGGCTGCTGTTGTTTGTCTCGTTCGCGACGTAATTCGAGTCGTCGCTTAAAAAACTGTTTGCACGCTTCTCATCGGTCTTGGTCTCTTTAATTTGATCCTTTTTAATTTTATTTTTTTTTTATCAACAATTGACTGCTGTTGTTTGTCTCGTTCGCGACGTAATTCGAGACGTCGCTTAAAAAACTGTTTGCACGCTTTCCGAGGAGGGAAAGAACCGTCTTATTAGCGTCATTAAGCGAACACGGCTGTATCAAGCGTGCGGCTGTATCAAGCGTCGGCATTCTTTCGCTTCGGCAGACGTTACTCGTAAAATGTTGTTTGCGGATTTCGCACTTCCTGCGAATAAATCCGTAACTACATGGCGTTGAAGCTCTGTTTGTTTCGCGATTGAATTATGAATTAAATCAGAAGAAGAACCGAGGAAAGTATCTCTGAAAAAGTGGGATTTATTATCGGGTTAATCGTGGTAATATTGAGTTAAATATGACGTCACGTCATTTTTCGTTTTCGAATTAATCGATATAAATGATATTATTAATATAATAAATCAATCTCTTGGATCAATATATATTATGTTCGACATAATCGATGCTATTATTCTCTTAATCTCTTCGTGGCATTTTTTAATGAAACAAACGTTGCTTTTAATTTTTACAACTGTTACCATGAGAAAGTTAACACGATGGGGAAATTCTTGCTACGACACAATTATTTTGATTTTGGCTAAATCAAGAAAGAACAATGGAAAGAAATTTAATTTCGTGGAATTAAAGTCGATCGTAACTCGTTACTTGCACAGAACATCGCGTCTAAATCTATAAGACGTAACGTTGAGAAGAACGTAAACCGGTTTAGGCCCTTATTCCCTGGAGTCAGAGCAGTTTTTTAGTTACTATTATTAGAGAGGCGCACATGTGTGGCCGCGTGTTAAGAGAGCCATTTGTCGACAACGATGAGACAGTTGCGAGAGTATCGTTTAATAAACGATTAATTATAAATGGGTGCGTTGCAAAACTAATACCGTACGAGCCTCGTTATTTCTAATTTCTTTATTCTTCCTACGATAGCTGTTTCTGTGCACACATGTGTATCACTAGTATAGAAATATACATTTAATGTACAATATGTAAAATATATTTATTATGATATAACATATCAAATATAGAAAATATAACGTTACATTTTAAATAATTTTATATAAAATATAAATTTCTATCTATTTGAATATTATATTGTTTCCCAAAATTATATACCGTATATCACGCATTATACATATATTGAATAAAATCATTCCATGGTACGCAACGGATATTTTTTTCCATCAAAATTTTCTTCACGTCTATGTACTACATCTATGTAAATCGTACATAAATACAGATGCAGATCTGTTTCTGGACGGTTTTCCGCCGCCATGCAGCGAGCGAGAGCGACGGAATCGCGTTCTGCCTCACAGCGACACAACGACGCTCGTGTCCGTAATCGTTTTTCAGGCGTGCAATTGGCATCCTAATCACGAAGAGATGAACTCGGCGAGGCGGCGGAAGATTGCATTTGCAACGAGCGAGCAAGCGCGAGCGGATCGAGGTGTTGCATTTTGATCGCGTGATTGCGTGCGTCCTCGAGAGAAATATGACACGCGTGTGCGCAGACAATTTCAAGTGGGCGAGGAGAAACTCCACGCACATATACACAGAAGTCCCTTACATCTTATATACGCCAACAACATATTGCACACTGCGTGTGCTCGCTATTTTTTTTTCCCTTCTCTTTCTCTCTTCGTCCGAACAACGCTCGCCTTTCTGCGCGAATCGCGCGAAAAAACATCTCTGCCGCCAGATTACCATTTGATAACGAAAAAGTTGGCGCATTCTTTTGCAACGGATGTATATATATATATATATATTTAATCTCGAAAATGTGTCGCAAGATCAATGCATACATATATTAGATTCGCGCTGACTTCAATAAATCTTCTGAAAAACTTTTCTAAAAATTAAATCCTTAGTACTTTGTTTTTTATTAAAAATTATATGAATTTTAATAATTATTATAATAAATCTCACGCTTTATTATTTTATATAGTCACCGTGTTTTTCAAGATAAATTTGTTAACGCGGATCAAGTTGCGTCTCTCAATGTAATGTTAGCAATTCGTTAATGAAATGCTCGCAGTTATATTATAAGTGCTTGAATCATATTATTCTTATTTATATGCGAGAATTTAGATGTTCCGATAGTAAAATACTCGCCTTCTTACGATGACCTCGTGGTAACAATTCGCTAATAAATAATATTACGGAACTGACCTTGCGAGAAATTCAAGTCGAATTTTAATGATTATTTCAGACATTGAAAACTTTTTACCGACCTCATCGAAATAATATTATGGAGAGTAATATCTCCGATAAAACTGAGTTGGGAAGCGATTAAAAACAAACAAGCGATCGATATTTGCCGCTTGATTTCAAATATAAAATGATCTTTCCCCAAACTTCTGTACACGCGTACGAAGACAAAATTGTAATGTAATGGTGAGCACACAAATCAATTCTGCTCCGAACCTCCTCGAGAGATATCTTGTTTAAGCTATACTTATCGTTAGCAATTTAACTGTAAAAAAACTTGGTCTCTCGATTGCTTCGCTCATTTCATTCCGCATCAACTGCTTATCCTCTCTGGCATGCTTGACTCTTTAACAAATACGATAAAAATAGAGATATTTGTCGTAGAACGCACGGTTAAAATTCATCGCGCAGCCGAGATTTGACTCTGCCAATATTCGCCACTCGATGTAACAATCTTAGCGTGGTAATTTAAGAAATTGATTTCATCGCGCTATTTGTGGATATATGCAGTTCGTAATATTCATCGCAGATTATATGAAATTCGCGCGTAGATTGTATAACAGTTCCTTTTTTATTAAAAATATATTTTATCCGTATTACTGTTTTTTTTTTTTTTTCATATCTGTGTATAATATAAAACTAATCAATATAATAAAAATACCACGTATAAGGAAAAAAGAAAAGAAAATTGAACCGCAAGAAAAACTAATCACAATCACAGGCATGACTTATACGTATGTATTTACATAACTGCGATATTAGAGTAAGAAGAAAAGTTGAGAAATAGAAAAATTTACGCGCGTAAATATATACAGGGTGTCCCCAATTTAAATGTCAAAACTTTAGGAGCGTGTAGGGGACCGATAAACTAAGACAAAAAGTCCTTTAGAGATATGCTCGTCCTACATGCTCCTAAAGTTTTGACATTTAAATTGGGGACACCCTGTATAAAGACTATAAAGAAGGATTGGAGCAAGTTTACTTTGTGGGGAGAAAATGCGTTATAGTTGGAAATCTACTGTTGGAAAACAGATTTTTTCGGTGTGATTATTTCTATAAGTAGACTGCAAAAGAGTTTTCCGCACGCATTGCGGATTTACACATTGCACAATATGTGCTCGCTCACTGGTGCGCGGAAACGAAGGCGTACAGACGGCCGGCCGCGAGCTCTATGACGTAGATGGATCGCGATTCAACTGCGGATGTAATTACATTGCGTACGAGCCGGAAGTGGAAACGGTCTGAGCGCTTTTGCGGCTTAAAGAGCGATTTTATACGCTCGAATTACGCCGATCGACCGCGATCGACGTCCTGGCCACTCCGTAATGTTTATAATCGGGCGAAACCGAGTTGTCGTTTTGCGATCATAAGAGAGAGAGAGAGAGAAGGAGAAAGAAGAAGATTGTGAGAATTTTCCTCTCTATGAAACTTTCCTCAATTTTTAGCATAAAGCATCTCGAGACAAAAAAAAATTTTATAATATTATTCTTATTTTAAATTTTTATTCTTATTTCTCATCTTATTCTTATTTAAATCAACTCTTTCCAAACAGCATACATTGGATGCTTGATGGAAATTTATCATATCGTACATATATGTATAACAACGACTAGATATGATTGAATAAAATTAGTTGATTTTAAAATTTAAATTGAGTTAATTCAGAATGAAATATTCAATTAAGTTGATTCATAAATCAATTTCTACATGGAGATATAAGTATCGACAACGCAACATGTCGAGAGAGATATTTTTTTTTTTTTTTGTGACCGAGATTTGTGACCAATAACCGAAATTGCGACGATAAGAGATAAATCAGAATCGTATCTAACTCGTTCCACGATGATTGCAGGTAATGCCGAAGGAATCTTGTCCCGGGTTGCTATTGACCCTGGTGTCGATATTCGTCGGACTGTGCGAGTCCATCGCCGCCGGCGGCGCGACATCCGGCGCCCAGCAGCCGCAGCCACAGCATCCGGTCTGCAAGCCTGGCCTGGAGTTCTGGTCGGCCGAACGCGTCTCCTGCTGGCCGTGCACCCGATGCGCCCCCGACTTTACCCTGAGCCAGTGCGCGGTAGACAAGGACGCGATCTGCGGCTCGCTCGAGCTCGACTACGCGTCCGGGACGCCCAAATGGCCGTCGGAGGCCGGCGAGGAGGCCTTCATCGCCAAGTTCTGGCGGCTCCTCGAAACGAAAGAACGGGTTTCCTCAGTGGAAGCCGGTAATCTCGACCAAGATCGAGATGACGACGAAGGCTCCGGCAACGAGAAGCCGGTCTACTCCATCTCACGAGACTCCAAGGTAATTTGAAATTGGATGCATATAGATATTTAGAAAAAAATGACGAATCTGTTGCGGAATAGTTTCAAGTTAGTATAAATTTGCAGTTAATTTTACAATAAATTAATTTGGTTTATGGAATGATACGATATTATTATAATATAATGTGAAAAATTAATCTTTTATTTTGAGATAAATGTTAATTTTAATTAAATTACCAAACTGGTCATCTAACAATTATTAAAGTCATCGAAAGAAATCTATGTCTCCTGAATATGAATATGAGTGTAGAATCAGTGTGCATTTTGCGTCGGCGAAAGCTAGCTTTCGCCGTTTGCTACGCGGCACAGAATCGCTTGTATTTCGCAATCGCTTGCGTTTCGAAACTAATCTTTAGTAGCGTTGTATCTTTTAGCACTCGTATGCGCGCGAGAAAAAGGAAAGGGAGGAAACTGATAGCGTTAAAAAGAGACAGAATTAAACCCGCATAACGCATTGGTTTTATGACGCAGACGACACATGATCCTCGGGAGAGGAGAAAATCGGCTACCGAGGCCGATCAATTACCGTGGGATTGGCAGACCGGCGCCTTGGTCCTCGCGGTATGCGCCTGCATAATGTTCTTCCTAGTAGCGGGATGCTCGGCTCTCGTCTACGCGAGGCAATGGCGGCGAATGAAGAGAAATTTTGAACCAGGTAAATTGTGAAAATTCGATCGAGAGGAAAAAATGCACAATAATATAATTTCGGATATGAGAATATGTGACACTCAAGAGTCGCGCTTTCGAAAAGTCTTTCAACTTCTCGAGAATTACTCCGAGAATTCTGACGAGTATGAGCTTTCGAAATTCATTCGCTTCCGACGTTATCGTTAATCGGCGAATCGATTTTGTAATAATTCTTGATTAGTATCGCGCTACGTAAGCGGAATAAACATCGTCGATACACCAATCACTATGCATCCGCGATACTCGGGAGGAAGGGGAAGGAGAAACAGGATTCGTATTTCGCGAGGTAAAGGGTGCCGCGTTCGAGATGTTGTCGGCGGCAAGAATATAGGTGCACGTATATACGTACAAGTAAGCCGACGAGAAGGAAGGAGAAAGAGAGAGAGAGAGAGAGAGGGAGGAAGACAAAATTCCTTAAAATGCATGACGGGATTTTCTTCATTAGAGGGCCGATCACGGCCGCTCCTCACCTTGGCTCGACCTACCGCGCCCGGATATGACGTCTTCAACGTCCAACGTGCGACGCAACGTGCGTACTGTCGCGCACCTCGTTCCGCGTTTGTTACGCTCCAAAATAAACTAACAATTTTGTTCTAATACGAGTCAATTAACGATAATGCAACAATGTGTGGACTCTATAAAGGCTCCTTTTAAATTACGGCAATAACGGGATTAAATTTCAAGATTAAATTTTTTCGTGTATTTTTTGCGATATATATTAGCCAATCTAATAGAATCTTTAGCTTACAAGCGGTTCTGTTCGTTAAAATCCTCGTTTTTTGGAAAATGGAAATGATTCGAGGATTGTGTTGCATAATCCGAAATTTATATACTTTTATATATAGATACTTTTTGGAAATGTATGTAATTTATAAAATTTATTCTCGACAGAGTAATTAATATCGCATCTTTTACGCGCGTAAAATTTTCTTTCAATTAAATCTGATGATTTTTGAATTAAATTTGTGAAAGTTTTTAAATTAATGTTGCCTCGAGAGAGAATCCCATGTGTGTATACGCACATATGTACGTCTCTTTCACTTTATATATAATCCATACACGTATCGCGCTGTAAGATTCTCGTAAGGGATGAATTGAAATGGCGTAACACTCTTATAGGCACTCGACGGCATGCCATTGCACGTGTGTACGCGATGTTACTATCTACATTTGCATAACGAACAGAGTACGCAGAACTCCTCCTCACAGGAACACTCCCCGTCAGTTTAGCTTTTCTCTCTCTCTCTCTCTCACTCTCAGTATATCTCCTTCTATCAGTTGACGTATCGCGTCGCACGTTTGTGGGAACCGATTCAGCCACGTTTCGTTAATGAACGCCGTATGAATGAAACCCCTCGTTCGTCTGGCGCGTATCGCCTTTTAAATCTACGCTTTCAGCGAAATGCACGCCACAACAACAGCGAAAAATATTTGTTAATAAAATATGCAATAAGTTACACATTATTTTAAATGAGTCTTGCGGAATACATATACATATACACGCGTTATTAAAAATTGTTTTTAGAAACTTCATCTATATAAATCTCTCGGATTTAGTTACCACCTATTTTTATACTTTTTTCGATCTTCAATATTAAATATCTTGATAATTAAGCGTCGTTAAGATATAATCTCAGTAAAACGCGCTCAAAATTAAATAAAGACTAAGAGAGATTATTACTTTCTTCATTTTGTATCTACGAACCACTATGATTAATCCACAAGAGACTATTTAAAATAAAATACATTTAACAGTTGACAAATTGACAACTTTAAACGAATTTATACGTGTTTGAAAGTCCACATCATTTCCACAGCGAGACTCAAAATTTGCATTTTATAGAATTGCATTTTACACGAGGAAATCGAGTAATTTGAAATGAGGAGAAATGATCGCGGGAAAGAAACATATATGGTGGTTATTATAGAGAAACTTATACATACTTTATATCTTCGAGATATCGTCGTTCTGCGTTTCGAGGAGATTCTCTCATATAAAAATAGCACCTCAAGGCCATCTCGAGCGTGTTGCACGCGAAATCCGTTTAATTTTATTGCAATTGCAATCCATTAATATTTATCGCATCGCGAATTATGTATATAGTTAATTAATACTAATTATACGCAACGTATGTACGAGGGCGCGCCTGTCCGCGATTTATCCCGCTTTTTAATATAAAGAATAGATTGTAGTTGCAGCTACATTCCACATAGTTTACCTGGATTGCACGTGATTGCAATTTGCTGCCAAGTATCATCATATCATCGCCGGAAACCCGCATTATCAAAACGGGTCTTTAGTTCTTCCTAATTAAAAGTGAAAAAATTTCGAACGCAAATCGTATTTTAAAACTGCAAATAGGTAACAAGATTTTATTCTTCGGATAATTTTTTAGCCTAACTTTATACACTATATATGTATTTTTTATAGCTATTCGATTTTTATTTCTGTTAATGCATGTTGTTAAAACGAAAAGGAAAACATTATTACATTTTTATATAAGATAAACATGATTGATAAGCGTGAAACGGACGCTTGGTATGCGCATATGTAATCAGTACCGTTTGATTGTGGATGACGATCGGCCCACCCGGTGCTTCTGATTAAGAACGTCGGTCAGAGGGACGGGAGGGGGAGAGAACGAGGACTTATGGGGATACCGCTCGAACAGGGAGCCATTAGGGGAACCGACTGTACATACTATGGGGCTCCGGAGAAAATCGAGCCGCATTCCACAGACGTTCACGATGCATTCCACGTCAGTTGCACTCGATACGATACGCATCGCGGATGTTTCTTTATGGCGCTATCATCTCGAAGGATTTTATACGAATGCTAGAGAGAGAGAGAGACAGACAGACAGAGAAAGAGAGAGAGGAGCCAAGTTCAAAGCAAAATACATAGTTTAAATAGATTATTTAGCATATTTCCAAAAAAGAAAAAATTTCATGTTTTCTTTCTTGGAATCAACGATAATTTTGAATGATAGATGCATTCTCTCTCTCTCTCTCTCTCTCTCTTAATGAGCAATTATATCGTAATTTATTCTTACAATTAGTTTCATTTCTAATCTCTCTTGGCAGATATATCTTTACGAAAATATATAACTTACAATCTTGTCAATTCTAAAATGTAAAAAATTGTTTGTCAGCATTTAACATAAAATTTTCAAGCGCAATTAATAAATGGGCATTTCACACGCTTTTAAAATTTTGAAAGTATAAGCAGTGAGAGTATAAAATAAAAATAAAATGATGGCGAGAATAAAACATGTATAAATGTTAAACACATATAAATTTACATTTTTGTGTATAAGTCTCAGATTTATAGATGTACAAAGCGCATAAAAAGATATTTACAATGTAATAATTTTTGCAATACAAAACTCTCAAACGATATCTCTGAATGATGATAAAATCTGCGAAATTCTTTTTAACGTGGAATAATAATAAGCTATTGGTGAAATTTTCGTTGCAGCGGGTCTCGAAGAGATCTCAGCCAGATTGAACCTGATGGTGAAGGCGGAGCTAGCCGAGCTGGTTGCAGGGGCGCCGATGAATCCAGGTGATCCCGAAACCAGATGTCAGTATCTCGAGAAACTTTTAGGTAAGCACGGGCAAAATTTTAAAGTTTGTTATTATAAATGCTCGCAAGAATGACTTGAGGTCATCATCTGTGATGACCCTGGTCATCGCTCTTCTAAGCGATTGACATCTAGATAGAAGATCGCACATTCGATAATATATGCTTAGCTACTTGCTAACACGATACAACGAGAGGTAAAAATTTAAAAAAATTGGAAAAGGAATATGTCTCAATAGTTATGTATCTTATTGTTAGTCATAATTGCGTATTTTAATTATTAATAGAACATTTTATTTTAACATTTTTAATCTTTAGAGAATAACGAGTTTTAGTCCATTTAAAAATAACAATTTGTATAATTAATTTTTCTTGAATATTCTGAGTAATCCGTCCGCTCGAACTTGTTGTCTCATCTAAAAATCGGCATCATGTGTGTGAATTGCATAAAAAATATTCAAATATCGACGAATATATTGGCTGCATTATTGCTTAACATTGACAACACAATGGTGAAATCGCGGCTCGCTTGGTTACGTATTACGCGTCGTTTTTATCAATCAACACATCCGTCGCGCGCGACTGTATAAAATGTAGTTGCGTGCACGTTCGCAATGATCATTTTGTGCGCCGAAACGCGCGCGAAGAGGAGAAGGAGGAGAGGGTAGGAGAAGGGAAGGCGGACGATAAACGGACGAATGCGAGGGAGGTCGCGCAAACACACACAAATAAATTTGCTTAACTCGTACCGCACTTGAATGAGCTTCACACGCGCGCGCATACGTTTCACACGGGGTGACCGTGAAGTACCGTTTGGCTGTCGGTTACCGGAAGTATTTTTTGGCATGTCGCTTAAGTATCGTTAGCCGACGCGAATCGACGACATGTATATTTTAATCGCAATTTCGAATTAAAATCGAATTAAATCAGGATGAGAATAATATCGCGCGATATCGTACTATGACAAGCCAGGATAATATTTCAGATGTGTCCTATATATGAAGCTTTTTGTGCGTGTGGCGGATTACACACACACACACACACACACACGTACACACACGACCGATACCAAGAAACGCGCGCGCGCAAAAGGTCCCATTGACACACATACACAGCACGTAGCTCATTATTGAACTTTCATTCAGTTGTTCCTTTGCTCGTTTATTTCCGCTATGATATTTGCATAACATGTAATATCACGTTCCGTATTTTTGCTATATGCAAAATATCATCAACGCAGATATCTTGTTTTAATCTTCACATTATCATCTTTGAAATCTCTTTCCGCGCATTCGTTTTTTTCAAGGTTTATACTTACATTTCGTATCTTTTATCTCCTTTTTGCTATAAAATTGCTCAAGACAATTTATTGAACATTTATGAACATGCATAAATCAGAAGTTATTGAAATCATTTTATAAATATTAATCATAGAGAACCGACTCTCTCGCAGAGAACAGTCTTTTTATATTATACTTATGTTATATAAATAATATATCTATATATCTATATATGTATAGATAAACTTTTTTTCTCAAAATAATAAATTAATATTTATCAATTAATTTTAGTATTTAATTTTTCGATCTCAAATATATCACAAAATTTGTATAAAATTTGTATTAAAATTTGTATAAAATTTTTTATTATATTGACAGATTTTTTCTACATTTACAAATTTGGTAATTTATGTTAAGATCGTACACAGTGTGGAGATATTGACTGGAAATATTGAAATGTTCTCGTATATTTTCACAGTGGTTTTTGAATATTGTTAAAATTGACTCCCGTGTCTTTCACCATGTTCCGCCGCATCTCGCGAATCGCCACGCACGTGCGTTACGTCAGAGAGCAGATTTTCGAGCGCGGCCGAATCACGCCGATGATATTTTAGGAAGTAGTAGCTGTTTTTGTAGAGTAGACGGATCTTAAAACAGACGAGACGAGACGGGACTCGCTCGCTGCACTCTCCCGCGGGAATTATTTATTCGCGCGCGAAAACAAAATGACGTGATTGTGTTCGGACATTTATCTGCTTTCATTCATCCGCGCGGCGTGCTCAAACTTTAACGCGCGCATGCGCATATTGTGCTCATCATCAGTAGTATGTGCTCGTAGAGAAACGTACGGTTCAATTATTTACAGAATAGTAAATTACGACATTAAAATGTTCAAACGAAATTGTTCGCTATCCTATCGAAAAGTTAAGCTAACGATAAGTTTATTTTATATTAAGATTATACAAAATGTAAACGAGAAAAGAGTTTAATAAACCACATTGATATACATAGCGATTGCCAAAAAATCAACTATAGAAGATAGATGGGAATTAAATTTATTTGATCAGTATTTTTTTTTTATCATTCTAATTATGTTGGAGATTTTTCAGTTTTTTATTCTATTATCTCTATTTATTTCTTTCATCAATTTTAATGACTTTTACTTTGCAATTGTCAATATCGTTTACTTTTGTCGTATCCTTATACGCGTAATATACGCTAACGCGTTAAGATTTCTACGCACGAGAAGAGGAGTGCAGCCGGGTCGAGAAATTAAAGTCGCGTCTCACCATCATCTTTACACGAGGTCTTTACCTTAAACTTTACCACGAAATACTACTGCAATCGTGTTACTGGAACTTTACAATTCCATCGCATTTATCGGTGAGATGGACAGCCGAGAGAGCAGGATTACGAACTCGTAGAGACTCGCTTGGTTCTCGCTCATCGCAAGAGCGCCCTGAGCGCCGCGAATTCTCCGCTACCGTTGTTGCAGTTTCGAGCGTTGACGCTTTGACGCGAGCGTGAGTCCGAAAATCAATCCGTCGCCAATTTTAGCCGCGCAGCGCGTCAATATACTCCGCGCTTCTCGGCCGGAAAGCGAGACGCGGGATCTTTTCACCGTTGGAATATTTCATTGCGCTCCCACGCCTCGGAACTTGTATTTATATGTGGACCGGCCGGCTATATATACCGGAAGCGTAACGCGATGTACACGGTGCTCCCGAAATACGCGCGTTCCTCGACGACGTGACGCGTTTCGTTTCGTTTCGTTTCTCGATGAAATTTAATCGATGAAGGAAGGTCGAGTATCGCTATCGTTCCGAAAGATTCAGTCGTTCTCACTACGAGAATAATCTATCCACGGACAATGTTTTGTTTCTTCGCTGCTTTAATATAGCGACGATTTTTCTTACTTTATTTCAAAATTTTTCCGCGTTCCGGATTAATCAACTTAAATGGACAGAGTGACGAGATGAGAGAAAAGCGCAGATTATTTCTGTCCGGTTGAATGAAACGCCTCTATCCTCCTAGATAGAATCTCATAGCGCAAATCGTTGGCGATACTGCGGTCCAAATGAGCCTCTCTTCTCCCTTCGCTCGCTTGACTGATGAAGCCAGTATGAGGATTCGTTTGCTCTGCTTGCAGACCGGAAACGGGAGACTCCGGTGGTGGCGACGGCAGCGGTGGCGACTGGCTGGCCGGAGGCGGCGGCCGGCAACTTGTACATTGAGGAGGGGAGCACGATGACGCCAACGAGGAGTAAGCGATCGCGGATCGCGCGGATTCAGCGCAACATCGAAACCATTCTCAGTCACAAGACGAATCAGGGCACCGATTGACACAATCGTCTATTCAGCCTGACTGGGACTTGAGACTCTTTAGACTCGCTTGTGTGTACGTTGCGCTACGTTCTATTAGCGCGATTATTACAATTAAATTCGCATTAAATGAGTAAACCGTATAAGTTGAAATTGACGACGGCATGCGTAGATTCCGTAAATTCTCGATATAGGGGACGAAGGATTAATATTTTTTATACATCTATCGCGCTTTTGCTTTAATATAAACTCGTGAAAGAATTTTCCAAATGTTTTCACATTGAGGTAAAATCGGAAAAAAATTAGAAAATGTGTATTTAATATAATTCCTATAGATCTATATATATATATTATTTGTAGTTTATTCCATAGAAAAAGAATTGTCAAAATCAGAAATAATTTCGTGGTATGAGATTTTGTCACTCGTCCTCATATACTTTTTTCTCTCTCGCAAAGGACATATAATACACGATAAATCCGAAAGAACGAGAACAATAGAAGTATTTGAATTGTACTGAATTGTACGAATATTTTATAAGATATTGTCAAGTGCAACATAGCGTAATTTATTGTTACAATCAGGCAACCGAATATTCCTATTTTGTACCGGTTGCACCAATGTTTAGTTAACTCGTGGTTAACTAAATTTTTCATCTCTATATATGTATGTTATATCTGGTAATTAGACTCGGAAGTGAGGAAAAAAGTATTATTGATTAAGAATTGTTGATTATAATTATAGATAAGCAGTATCGATTAATTAATTTTCGAAATATATTCTGATCTATTTTTAGATTAAAAAAAATTTTTCGTCAAGTTCACTTTTTTGTCGTAACGGATATATCAAATTCATTAAGATATTTTTATTTAATTCAAGCGCGATCGATTCATTATAATTTAATTTTTTCAGAAATAAATTTTTCCTTCCTCTCTCTAATTTTAATTAGTAATATATTGTACAATATATATTGTTAATGGTGCAACAATCTGGACGTGCTTACATCATCCAGAGAATGATCAATTAAGGAAGTCAACCTGAAATAATTAGTTATCTATCTCTCTATATATAGGTATATCGTTGGTGCAAAAAGCCGGAATTTTACTTTGTATAAGATAGTGCGACAATTTGACGAATAAAAGAGGAATTTGTTCGCTGTTGCGTTCTATTAGATCTGAAACTCTTTTCTCTATATATTTTTCTCTCTCCCTCCTTCGTTTTTTTCTGTTTCTGGCAATTTATCGTAAAAAGACGTTGCGGCCTCCTACCGTGTCCTGAAACTCGAGCGTAATTCGAGTTACAAGCGACATGTAGCCGGAGGACCCTATTTATTTTTTTATCTTTTACTCTCTCTCTCTCTCTCTCTAATAGTTTTAACACGACAAATATTGTAATATAAAGTGCTTCTGTATCCATACACGCATGATAACAGCAATAAAATAAGACTTTAATTAAGTACATTTAACGGGGAGAGTCTCATTTCTCTCGTGGAAACGATTGGTTTCTCTCTTTTGAAATCAATCATTCAACACAATTTATGTTGTGTTTGTAATATAACATATATATATATATATATATATAAGATATTCCCGGAATTTTTGATGATTAAAAATACCAGATTTTGATTAGAATCATCTTTTCTTTAACAAAAATATCGTAAGCGAAATGCCATCATTTTTTACAAACTTTACAAATATTATATCTACAATAAAGTTCTACATTCTAATCGGGAGTTAAAATTCTATTAAAATAAATTATCCTTGATTATTTTTTCACTTAAGCTCAATTCGCGAAGAGTTCTTTATTTTAAATAACTTTAAGTAGCTCGAACACTCTCGATATTTTTGTTAATAAATACATAAAATCCAAATTTATAAAAAAAAATTAAAATAATCTTGTTGGATTATTTTGATTTTTTACGCGAAGGAAATTGGTGAGCAAGAAAGAGAATAAGACGTAACGATATATGATAAAAAAATTTCTCCATTCTATTCCTTATATACATAATGTTCATGTATTTAGATTGTACCCATTACACCGTAGTAACATCAACAATATTTTTTTCTTTTTCTATTCCATTCTCTTATCGATTTAAATATATCTTTATTCGTACGTCATATAAATAACTGTGGAGGAAAAAGGAGGGAGGGAGGGGGAGGGGATAGTCGAGAGGGAAGGTGCGGGTGAGTCAGGATGCGGTGTCTAAAACACCCGTCTTACCACATACTCTCCCGAGGCCATGCGCCTCTCTCGTCGTACTCTCGCTTGCCCTAAGATATAATACCTTTACGTCTATCTTCTAGCTTTAAGACTATTTTTTTCTTTGTAAACGTGATCACAGTGTAAAGGCGTCGCTATATACGCTAAAGCAGTAAGCACATACGGTGAACACGGGTTAACACACACGCTCCTGGTCCATATATTTTCGACAATTGCATCTCTCGCCTCACCTCGCCTCTTTCCTTCCCTTTTCAATCAGATCCCATCGTTTTTCCTTCTCTCTCCTCCCACGCGAATACACGCAATTTTCTTTCGTTCCCGATGAGACGTTACTTCCAATCAGGCACTTTTTTGTTCACGATTCCGCTCCCGAGGACCCGCGCGAGAGTACGACGAATGCGCGCGCGCGCATTTTTTTTTTTTTTTTTGTAAAGGTATCTAAAAAGATTTGTACGTCAATGATGCTTTAATAAGGATCGAAAGTGTGGAAGGACGAACGTGTTCTAGTAATAATAATGAATATACGTGCCTTGCATACAAAATAGTGGTAGTTTCGCGACAGCTCTTAATACGTATATCGATCAAAGAGATAATTCGTGTACGTTGCATTCGTTTTAAGTTGAGTATACACTAAGCTAACTAATAACAAATGTGAATGTCCGCTGTTACAGTTCGGAAAATATGAATCCCGTAACGATTACAACGGAATCTTCGATCAGCATTCGAATCGCGTTTGTACCTATCGCTCATGAGGCAGTACATTAAAGAGAATTTATGTGCAGTGTGGATAAAAAACCAGCCCACAATGAATGTAAGGTACAATGCGAAAAGAAACGAGCAACCTACAAATGTTTGAAAATTTACATTTGTTGTTTCTTCGCTCTGCGTATACCCACTTTTATACGCGAGATCTATCCGATAGATCTCTTTCTCTCTCATTCTTTTTTTTAACTCTTAAAAGTTTGCCCATTAAATTACTATATTAACGCGATCGGTTCTGTTAGAAAAGCACCGTTAACTCTATTACAATATTTGCTTATTTAATCGTATAGTCCCGTGGTCTCGGTCCTCATGTGGAATGCAAAGCAATAATAAATTAATTAGACTCTAATAAATAATTATATAATCGTATTAAATACTACGCGATATACAGAATAATTATTTTAAATAACTATAACCATTTACAGCAATATGTGTGTGTATATACACACGTGTGTACATACACACGTATGTGTGTATGTGTGTCCGCAGTATATGTATGCGTGTGTATATCTCTTCGTCTCTTTGAGACGGTATAATTATATATATACTGTCGAACAATTAAGTTTCGAGACTCGCTTCGCATTTCCGAATGTTTGATCCGTTTGTGCTGCCATTTTAATATTTGCAACTCAATACTCAACACGTGGTGCAAGTTTTAAATTATTTGGTTCAATAGTTAATGAGATACTGTCACGCGAAGTTGTGTTACAAAATTTTGTTTAAAAATCGGTGTAATGGAAGAAACGCTTGACAACGCGCCAACATTAAGTTTTGCGTTAAATTAGAAAAGTCGCCAACAGAAACAAATGATTTAACAAGCTTACGGAGAGTCAATTATGCATAAAAGTAACGTTTCAAAAATATAGATGACATAAAAAAAACGTGAATCAAATTTTGAAAGGACTTGCTTCAGAGGATTGTAGAGCTGCTTTGAGCAATGGCGGAGATGTTGAACTAAGTGTATCAAGTTAGGTGGTGACTACATTAAAATTTTTTAACTATCTAAGATTTGTACGATTAAAAATAAATTTTTCATACGAAAGTCTCGAAACTTAATTGTTTACTTCTCACAATTATCGACAGGGCAATCTGCGAAAAGCTTTGTCGCGCGTTTCTATACTTATTTCACTAATTTAAGACTAATGATAGAGCTCGGAATATTTCAATAAAGCCCTATGGACGGATAGTTCGTACAATATAACAGCATGATGGACGAGTATGTGTTGGCAATTTCTTTTTTCTTTCTCGAAATTTTCTTTCTCTTTTAAAGAAAAGGCACAATTTGTCGCGCTTTGTACATTATTTTCTGAGAGAGCAGACATACTCTTCCTCAAATTTTAAAAATAATTTTAAATTTATAATTTACAATTGACTGGCCTTTATGCTTTAGCGGAAGGAGGGACGGGCGCATTCTTGCAATTTGCAAAAGTATTTTATGATTAAGAGTATGCCTAGACACATATCGCAGAAAATACTTGCACTTTCATACTAATGAACACTGAACATACGTACAAGATACGTACCGATTCTCCTGCCGTTTTCTTTCGTTCAACGAAGAAGTGGGAGGGAAGAAGAAGAAACGAAAAGGGGAAAGACGAATTTTAGCCGCAGGTACCTCTCTTTTTCTCTATCTTCTCCTCCCAGCTACTGATGACTCTTGCTCAGTAAATGCGAGTTGAATTGGTACAAATTACAGCACTGCTCCCCGCAAATATTGCACTTCCATGGATTACTCTCGCTGTGACAACCTTTGTGAAGGAAGTATAATGTCTGATCCGGAAACGTGATGCGACAGTGGGTACACTGGAGTCCGCTCGTGCGTGGATCCGGCCTGGTCGAGGTGGGCGGTTCACCCCTCGAATGCGGAATGGCGCTGCCGCAGCTGCTATTGTTACTGCTGTTGTTGTTGTTATTGGCAGAACTGGTGGAGAGCTTGCGGCGTAGATCGTCGCGCAACAGCGACTTCAACGGCGACACTTTGATTAGCGATGGCAATGGCAGATTGCTCGACGTCGCCCCGCTATCGTCCATACCGTTGCTATTCGGTTCCTGTTTGATGGGTATCAGAGAGATTGATGGTGTAATCGCTTCATCGCCTCCGCCTACGTTTCTGAGAAAAAGACCAAGAATTCGCGATCAAATAATTCGCGTTAGAATACAGTTAATTGTTGATGTTTTCTACTTTATTTTAAGTATACACAATTGTCTCTCGATTAAAATATGATCGAGGTTAAAGCTGACACAACGCGCAAATGTGAAGGTTCTAATATATAATTTTCAACAACGTTTAACACGCACATTGATCGTTGTGATAAAAATTAATAAATCTCGCTATTTTTTAAGTGCTCACCTATGAATGGTGCTACTATTGATAGCTAATTGATGATGACTACTGCTCGGCGCGTTGCTATTGCTGTCGGCGCTCTGCGGGCTATTGGGACTGTCTCCGTTCAATGGAGCAGGACTCGGATTTCGCTGATTGGCAGCCTGTTCGGGGTAAGGAATGGATATCTCCACGTGAGGCGTGAGAAAATGCATGGGAGGCGTAGCGTTGTCGGTCGAACGATTGCCAGTGCTGTCCCCGCTATCGGATAGAGGTGCCGAAGGCATCGCTTCTCCGGATGTGCAACTATTCATTAAGGATGTAGAGCTATTTGGTCCAGGATTATCTAAATCTATTCCATGTCTGTGAATAAAGAAGGAACGTACATAAAATGAAGAAAAGGGATAGAAAGTACAATGTTTTTTTTTTCTTCAAATAATTCGCAAAATTCATACACGACTCACCTATTAAAGAAGTGCAATCTAAGACATTTCATAGTCGCTGCCCGATAGTTGCAGAGAGGACACGATTTGACCATATCGTGCTGACCGACATGTTCGTTCTGAAAATGAGCGCGCATCGCGATCTGTCTTTGAAAACCACGGTTACATATCGGGCAATGGTATGGCAAAGTCTTTGAATGTGTCGTAAAGTGTTCCGCAAGATGGTCTTTCCGAAAGAATCTCTTCTGACATACCCGACACTCGTACGGTTTTACGCCTGTATGCCTCATCTGAAAGAGATAAATGACAAAATAGGTCAACTGTTTATTGATAAATACATGGCGATTGCGGAAAATCATGGTTTACATAAAAAGTGAGATTATATTTTATTTAAGAGAATTATATATGTATTTTTATTTCAAATAGCTGTTACACTTACAGATTTGTGCCTGTCAAAATTCTTCTCTTGTCATATCGATCAATTTAACGTGTAACACGTGTATTACACAATAGATCTTTATGTCGCGTAATCTTCTCATACTCACTTTGTGCCGTCTCATGTTAGCTCCATTTGAAAATTTCATATTACAGACATCGCATTCAAACATCTTTCTGTGAGACCTCATCCCTGAATGGCCCTCTTCCCCATCTCCTTCATTCTCTGCGCCTTCTATACCCTCAGCGCTCTCTCCGGCCTCGCCGCTTGCCAGACATTGATCTTGATGAGCGGAGAAAGCTGTCTTGTTTATAGTTTCATAATTATCACACCTATCGCATCTGTGAAATTAATATACATTTCCTAAGATTAGAATACTTTCACCGATGAAAATTTATATTTTAGGTATTCTATCGTAACTGTTGCTATCAACATTGTATCTGGATGCGAAATTACAATTTGAATCTCACCTAAATGCAGGGACAGCTCCGTCGCTACTATCATAATTGGTATTGAGTGCTGCCTCGTTATCAGGATCTAACGCCTCTTCCTCTCTATGATTGGAAGAGTCTCCAGCCTCAGCGTGCGAAGAGGAATGAGAGTCTACCTCGTTTTCCCCACCACCACCATCAACCCCATCTGACATGTTATCAAGCGGAAGGACTATACTGAATCCGTCATCTAACCTAGGACGACAAGCACAGATTAGTCACTCATTATTATTTACTCACAGATAGCATACGCGCGCGTCTACTTGGCACGAAATTCACGTCGCATTTCTAAACGCTTCTAAATGTCAAAGAATTTATTCAAAGACACGCACACATACACACACACACACACACACACACACACACTGTTATCCCGTTCAAACAACCATGGCCTATTTAAAGAATCTGTCATAAAATCAAAGCCTTATTTAAACATCGCCCGCTATCTCGTTCGACAGATTTATATATGAAAAGAACTGCACGTAAGGATCGATCGTTGGTCGCGTTCCATATTTCACGAAATCGAGCGAACGGGAGGAGACTCGTCGAGGAAGCGAACATCGCTCGAGCGCACCCGATATCGTCGTGTCCTACATAACGTCATCTCGTTTATCGTCATCACCATACTCGTGGACACGTCGTCGTCGTCGTCGTCATCGTCATCGTGGACGTCGTTGTCGTCGTCGTATAATCCCGTAGCGAGTTCGCGAAAAGGCGTTCGCTCGCGATTTCTCTTAGAGCGCGCGATTTTTCGCACGTCGTGTTGTGTGTAAAGAAAACAAGAAAAAAAAAAAGAAAGAAAAACAAGATTGTTTTCGTCCCGTGCCACGAGATTTTTCGTATCGCGTATTTATCACGTACGGGAGTCTTTTGCGCGTTCGATGCCTCCTTTTACCCGTCAGCTCTCTCTCCGTCGTCGATACTCGTGTCTCTCTGTCAGGTGCGCTGTCAGTTGGAGCAATTCGCGATACGCGCGCGACAGACGGAGAGAGAGACGGAGAGAATGTAACTCCGGGTTATTCGAGAGAGCGAGGTGCAACGATACGAGTATTACCCAATCCTGGGAAGATTACGGCATAGAAACACCTGGTGGTAAAGCGCAATGCCAGAGTGCACTGCACTTTGTCCCAGTTTCGACCGAATCCGTCACTCGTGACGTAGTTTTCGCGGCTTTTCCGCGGAAAGTCTCTGGCGGTCGCGCACGCGACGGCGCCGGAGATAAGGAGGGGGAGGGGGGAGGGGAAACTTGCGACGGGAGAAACGGAAAAAAGGGGAAAGAAAGAGATAGGATGGAGATAGAGAGGAAGGAAGGGCGGGTCAACGGAACACCTCTCTCGCGTCTCGCGTGGACCACTTACTCACATTCCACGGAGAGGCCCACGGGAGCACCTTGTCCGGGCGCCACGACGGAATTTCGTTCGCCCTCTCTCTCTCTCTCTCTCTCTCGCGCGCGCGCGCGCGCACACCCGCCACCCGCCCGCCGACACTCACGATCGCCGCAACCAACGACACTCGCGCGACGGCACACGAGTATAAAGTGTAACGGAAGCGCGAGACCGGTATCCGTTTACATGCAGTACGATATTCTCGTCGCCGCTCGTGATCGGCACTGCTGCCAACGGTGCGTCGCTACCGCTACGACGACGATACGAGAAACGAGATACGACATATGACGCGGCGCCGCGGACGGTTTGCGCCGACGCCGTCGACGCGCACCGGGTACGCGGGTAGCGGGCAAAGTTTGCGCCGGATGCAACTTTGTTCGGGTCGAAACTGCGCGCGCGCACGTGCCTGAACATAACCTCGCGACTCGTGGTTCGTGGTTGGTAGCGCGCGACTGTCAAACGCGACTTGTCAAACGTCATCTCGTTATGGCGTGTTTACGCGGAGGATCGCCAATCCCGTCGCCGCGACGGTAATGGTCCTCGATTTGCAGTAATCTTTATCCTCATCTCGACTCGCGTGAATCTTAATTTTAAAAATGTGTGGCCGATTATCAGTAAAGTAGTTCAACCTATTCTCGAATTACGATAATGCGCTAGTTTCATGTCGATGCGTCGATTTCGCGAAACTAACCTCATTTCGATTTCCTTTTGCAGTGCGCGTCATCGTGTTGTTTGTTGACTCTTTTGCATTGTTGTGTTGCGCGCGAGATGCGAAATAACTGACAACAAATTGATATTCTCTTTCGTCGGATTTTAGTGCGTTTATCGATGTCTATACGACCAGCATTCGCAAGTTGACAGTTCCTGATAAGCGTAAACAGGTATCTACCATTTTATAATCGCATATTTTTGCTATTTAGCACTAATTTCGATGAGAAAGTGACAGTCTTTGTAGAAGTAATTTGCAAATTGGAAATATTGCGTATATGGTCCAACATTAATAAAAATTACTGCACTCTCTCTCTCTCTCTCTCTCTCTCTCTCTCACTCACACACACACACGCAATATTTGCCAAATAAATTCTAATTTATAGAGGCTTCCATTCTTTCTTTCGCTGTTTTTTTAGTTTTAGAAAAATATACTATAATAAAGGTATTACTATAAGCAAAATAAATAAATGGATTTAAGATGAATAAAATTTGAGACAAAGATTATGCTCTATATAAAAATTAAAAATATTATATATAAAAAATAATATATAAATTTATACATTTGATGCAGTTTCGTCCGCGAGGAAAGGCTAACGAAGCGGAGATGAAGAGAAAGAAAGAATGATAGAAGGAGAAAGAGAGAGGGAGGAGACGGTGAGGAAGGGACAGAGAGATGGAGTACACGTTATGGTGGCAAAGTGTTTGGGCGTTGCTCTTCGATACCTGTTGATCGTCGCTCGCACGTTACTTTCGCGCGCAATCGTTCGTTGTTTTATTAACAGTAATCCGGTTCTTCGGTGTTCTTATCGTCGTTATCATGAAACGACACGGTAAGATCGGGGATAAACGTTCATCTCGACGTGACGTTTCGATCTCTCTCCTCGCGTCTCGTTTTCTCTCTTTTTCTCTCTTTCTCTCTCTCTTTTGCTAATGTTTTTTTCCGCGATCGATCGTCGCAACGCAAATTCATCATGTGCCTCTTATCGCTGATAAGAATGTCGCTCTGCATATGTAAAGTGTTTCTGGGATCAATCTTGTAAACTCGTCACAATGTAAGCGCTATTTATTTCTATTCTCGGTTCCCTGCAACTGTGCAGTTTCTTATTCAAAAAAAAAAAAAATCGATATTCTAAAATCTAGTTTCAAAGGCAATCGAATCTAATTTGAAAAGAGATCAAGATTTTCCTGTTAGTATTGGTATTTACAAGCGACAGAAGTATGAGTTTAAAATTGATTTCGCATTTAAAAATTATAGTTTCAGAATTTATGAGAAGTTTATGATTGATTAAAAAGCTTACTTCTCTTTTTTTACCTGTTTAATTATAATTAGTTATTAGATTTCATACACAAATAGAGAGCACTCTTTCTCTCTCTCAGCGAACATTATATAATCAGTTATACCGTATCTCTTATAATTTTTTGTTACATAATATGTTTTTTTCGTCGTAAACTTTTATAATCTAGAAATTTTACAATAATAAAAAAAAAAATCTTAAAGCGTTGATCTTTTTTGTCAAAAGTAAATACCTATTTGTTTTTATATTTCGATGAAATATAATTGAATATATATATATATATATCTTTAGATATATGTATAAGATTGTCGTTAAATCTGGAATAAAATTAAGAGCTGCTCGTAACTTAATATCTCTCTCATCTCCGCATATTTCCGTGTCTGTTTAACGGCATGCTCCTAAACTCATCGGCGCAATTATCGTCCTAGCGAGTGCGTTCTGCCCCACGACGGTGCAGCTACGTCGTTTGGAAAATCGTATGAATCAGCGCGGCCGAGGCTTCGTCTCGTTGCAATTAGTATCGCTCTTCTGGATTTTCGAGTCCTGCGAAAATTATTTATACACGGAGTATGCGTGTTGGAAGAATGTTCGAGGAACACGTAAAAAGGATATCTTCCTTTTGCAGCGTTAAATGGTGATGGGCAAAGGTGAGGAGAGGAACGGCACGACAGCGCAGGCGGGAGAGTCAACCTTCTTGGCGAAGAGTTCGAGCGAGGCGAGCAAGATGCTGGAGGCCGCGCTGCTTCAGATGGACGACATTATTTCCGGTACGATCGAGATTTGTGAATATATTATTTGTAGATATTGACACGATTTTAAGCATTATTTTTAAGATATAATATTTTTTTTTTTTTTTTTTTCTCTCTCTCTTTTGCTAATGTTTTTTTCCGCGATCGATCGTCGCAACGCAAATTCATCATGTGCCTCTTATCGCTGATAAGAATGTCGCTCTGCATATGTAAAGTGTTTCTGGGATCAATCTTGTAAACTCGTCACAATGTAAGCGCTATTTATTTCTATTCTCGGTTCCCTGCAACTGTGCAGTTTCTTATTCAAAAAAAAAAAAAAATCGATATTCTAAAATCTAGTTTCAAAGGCAATCGAATCTAATTTGAAAAGAGATCAAGATTTTCCTGTTAGTATTGGTATTTACAAGCGACAGAAGTATGAGTTTAAAATTGATTTCGCATTTAAAAATTATAGTTTCAGAATTTATGAGAAGTTTATGATTGATTAAAAAGCTTACTTCTCTTTTTTTACCTGTTTAATTATAATTAGTTATTAGATTTCATACACAAATAGAGAGCACTCTTTCTCTCTCTCAGCGAACATTATATAATCAGTTATACCGTATCTCTTATAATTTTTTGTTACATAATATGTTTTTTTCGTCGTAAACTTTTATAATCTAGAAATTTTACAATAATAAAAAAAAAAATCTTAAAGCGTTGATCTTTTTTGTCAAAAGTAAATACCTATTTGTTTTTATATTTCGATGAAATATAATTGAATATATATATATATATATCTTTAGATATATGTATAAGATTGTCGTTAAATCTGGAATAAAATTAAGAGCTGCTCGTAACTTAATATCTCTCTCATCTCCGCATATTTCCGTGTCTGTTTAACGGCATGCTCCTAAACTCATCGGCGCAATTATCGTCCTAGCGAGTGCGTTCTGCCCCACGACGGTGCAGCTACGTCGTTTGGAAAATCGTATGAATCAGCGCGGCCGAGGCTTCGTCTCGTTGCAATTAGTATCGCTCTTCTGGATTTTCGAGTCCTGCGAAAATTATTTATACACGGAGTATGCGTGTTGGAAGAATGTTCGAGGAACACGTAAAAAGGATATCTTCCTTTTGCAGCGTTAAATGGTGATGGGCAAAGGTGAGGAGAGGAACGGCACGACAGCGCAGGCGGGAGAGTCAACCTTCTTGGCGAAGAGTTCGAGCGAGGCGAGCAAGATGCTGGAGGCCGCGCTGCTTCAGATGGACGACATTATTTCCGGTACGATCGAGATTTGTGAATATATTATTTGTAGATATTGACACGATTTTAAGCATTATTTTTAAGATATAATATTTTTTTTTTTTTTTTTCTTAATGTAATAAAAAAAGAACTAAAGTTCTTATGTTTTTAATTTATTTTTTTCCAAAAGTAATTTTAATAGATTAATGAGACTTGTGCGACAAATTACATTAAAAAATACGACATGATTCAAATAATTATCAATTAGATGCATAACAAAAATTTTTATTATATATCTAATTGAAAGTTATCCGAATTTTTTATTGTTTGGTATTATTTTAATCACAAAAATCTCATTAATTCATTAAAATTATTTTTAAAAAGGTAAAATAAAACATAAAAGAATTAGTTTTTAGTTTATAAAATGTTTACAATTATGAATTACGAATAGATGAAGGAAGCTGATTTTAAGAGATTTCGGTACTCTAATGATAGTAAAATTGATAGTTAAAGTTAAAAATACATATATGAAAAAAACGAGGCTTGTTTTTTTTCACAAAAAACCGTATTTAAAAAAAAGAACATTTAGTCTTTTTCTATTTACATCTCTAGATATCGGCAATTTCGTTTTATATTCTGCCGTTAAAAAATCGATAAAATCGGTTCCTTCAAGAGAGAGAGAGAGAGAGGATAAGATAAATTAATAAATAAATTAATTTAGATAAGAGTTAATTTTAGTTTATTTCACAGATATGGTTATATTATATCTAAAATAGAGCAAATTATAAATTGAATATCACAGATTTATTTCATTATTCTTGTACTTTAAACTTCAATCAACATTCATTACGTTAGCTTTCTATACCAAATACATACCTATATCAAATATATTTACAGGTGCTTGCGCGGAAAGCTCAACCGAAAGCGGAAGCTCGGAGTGGAAGAACTCGGTGAAGGAGGCGGCGAGGAATCTCGTAACCGCGATAAAGAGCGCGCCGTCACCGCCCCCGCCGCCCGACGCCGTTACCGAGGATATCCTGTTGCAATGGATGCAACCGGTAAGCAGACAGACAAAGATAATACTACGCTCTGTTCCCGCGTCGATTTTGTTCCGTAAGCCGGTAAAAGACAACTCGAACGTTTCCTCGGCCGCTTCAAACGCGATGTCGTAAACGACGTTTCGATTTTGGACGTGCGTCTCGATGGGGACACGTGGGACACGTGTGACGAGTGCTCGTCGCGTGCATCCGGCACTGCGACTTCACATCCGGACTTACATGTCAATACGCACGTGTCACGTACGTCCACATCCGGACGCGTTTGACTTTGTTAGATTCTAATTACAGAACGCTCCAGCGGATAAAATCGACCGCTGGAAGTCCACGATTTGATTTCGATTAATCGCCGTCAATTTTTGTCGGGTGATATTTGCCTTTCGAGCAATGTATGTGATATGTGATGAAAAGCTACGGAATCCTTCGTAATAGAGAGAGAGGTAAGTATGATATAAAATTTATAATAATCACGACACGTGCATTATTATGCATAATTTATTACTTTTATATCAGTAAAATAATTGTAAAGATTATATAATGGATAACATATTACTTGTTACATTATTATACTAACTGACTGTGTAACTTGGATTGTTTAAAGCTTATCATTTTTATTCTTTTTATCGAGTTTAAGTAGCTGGACCAAGGACTGCGAAGAGCCGTCTAATGGCTGCGATCTTCGTAGGTAACAACAAGAGAGAGGACACTAATCTATTTATAAATTGTTGTCGCGTCTCTCTCTCTCTCTTTCCCGTTTTCGTACTCGTTCCCGCTTCTCTCGAAGGATTTCATGGCGTTAATTTTAGTTTCGGTTGAGACGATGCCGCGGTTGGTAATGCGAAAGTGCATCTCATCGAGATAATGTTTTATTGTATACAAATGTGTCGTTATTGGAGTTCAATACACTCTGCAGTTACGTTTATCCGTTGACATTATACCAAGTTTATTAAAAAGTAAGCGGTAGAAACGTATCTCTTTTTTTGTTGAGAAAAGTATCCTGATGACATTTCTACGCGTGGCTTATTAATAAATCTGGAGCAGATTGTAATGTGCATCATACTGAGCTTAATTAGAAGGCAGAAACGCGGTGATTTCGAAGAATAAAACGCAAACAAATTCATCATGGAGAATGCATCATGGAACGACATTATCGCTGCAGAACGAAAAAATCTCGCCCCGATAATGGAAGAAGAAGATAAGGGACAAGCAAAAGGTCTCTCTTCAATCTCTTTTCTTATCTCTCTCGTTTCTATATTGGCGCTAATATATATGAAAATGCAAAATTATTGCGACGAGATTAAGACAGAGATTCATCTTCCGTATTTTTCAATCGAATTTATAAATGCAATTGAAAAGTAGATTCTCGTACGATTTTCATGAGAGTGAGACTACGACTTTTCGATGTGTATTTCGGTTAAAAAATACGATAAAACTCTTGGCAGACGTCTGACGGTCGAGGCAATCTCGAGACTCGCATTCAGACACTAAAATCGGCTGGCTGGCTGGCTGGCTGGCTGGCTGACTGGTTGGCACCGAAGTCACGCTTTTGATGGAGTATGCTCGAAATAGATTGCCTTAACCGCGGACCGCGCGCACTGTTGACCGTCGAAGGCTCATAACGTTCATTGACTCGGTACATACGAGTATATAACAGTACGCGGGATCGATTATGTCGCTTCAATTTTCGTTTGGCTAAACACGCGGGGCCACGACTATCTTACGCGGGTGCAAAAAATAGATTCTCCATCGGCGCGGACGATATTGGAAGAGAGGAATCTTTCGAAGCCTCTACGCACGCTTCGCGCGGATTAAAAAGAAAGATTTAATCCGTAATATCTATATTCAGGTTCGCAATCGGATTCGTCGGACGCGGCGTCGACTATAAAGCTCTGGAACAGCCGATGGACGCCCTCAGAGGGTTACGATTCGTCGGGCACGTCGTCCGATTCCGACGTGGGTGACGAGTACGTCGAGGACTATCCACCGGGCATCGCGAGATCGACAATAGCGTGTCAGACGGCCTACCGATCGCAAGAGTGCTTATGTCAGGTAGACTCAACAGAGAGAGAGAGAGAGAGAGAGAGAGAGAGAGATCAAACAGGAAGACATTTATATTTATAATGTTACGATAAATAATCAAAATGTATCATCGAGTAAACAATTTGACATTTACAGGGCGAAAGATTTAGCAGACATACGGGTCAATATAGTAGTCTTCCTAGGCCACCGACGTCCAAGAAAGGTGTTGCATTTGGTAAGGTTCCAAATTTAGTCTCGGGAGCGCATACGACGGTACCCTTGGCTGTTAGGGGAATCGCCGCGAGATGCCTGTCCGCTCCTATTCTAGGTTCCGATCGATCTTTATTTAAGCATGTGGTGTCATGTTTAGATGTTTTCTTTTTTTTTTCGAACGACGAATCCATAATCGTGCAATATTAATCGATAGTAACAGCATGTCATTGAGAAGTAACCCACTTGCAAGGCATTCACGCAGCTAATAACGCGCGCATGCATTCGACTTCGTTATCATTATTTAATGCATATATCATTTAAATTTCTTTGCGGTCCGAATCAATTTTCATAAATGTATGCAAAAGCGTGTGCTATTTCCTCATTTTAATTTTATCATTGTTATCTGATTCATTTTTGTACTATTTGGAAAATTTGATGATGCAAACATGCAGTTTGCTTAATTATAATCATATATTACCTATTTAGAGAGTTACATATGTGCAGTTGAGCCACACAGGGGATCGCGAAAGATTAATATAAATATCATTACATGAGATATACATATGTAAGTAATGTCGGAGAATCAACATTTACAAACGGATATTACCATTAGCGGAGGAAGCGAAAATCGTGATCTGCGAGGCAAGCGCGGAACCGCTGCCACCGAAACCGCTCGCGGAACTTACTATGGAGGAAATCGGCGATTGGTTGGCTCGTCTCGGTTTGGAGTGCTACGCCGCCGAACTGAGACGATGGGGTGCTACTGGACTAAAGTTGCTCGATTCCACGCAGGTTCAACTGGAGAAGGAGTTGGACGTGAAGAATATCCTGCACAGGAAAAAGCTCCTTTACGCCATCGAATCGGAGCGAAGCAACGGCGCTGGATTTCTCGGTTCTCAAAAGGTTACATCTTAAAGTGCTTTACTTAGATTCGACGTGTTTCATTGGAAAAATATCCCCGACTGAAACGATCCTCTCTGGTAACTCGCAGATGGATAACGGGGCCGTGCTACGGTGGCTGGATGACATTGGTCTGCCGCAACACAAGGAAGCCTTCCACCAAGCAAAAATTGACGGTAGAGTTCTGCACAGATTGACCACGGAGGACCTACTGAATCTCGGAGTGACTGCGCAATTGCATGCCGCCAGTTTAAGACGCGGAATTCAGGTACTCTGCGCGCGCGTGTGTTATATCATACTTTAATTATTCAGAAGCTTCGATATAATCTATATATTTGAAATATCAGTATGCGAAACGAGATTTGTTAATTGCAGGTTTTGCGAGATTTGAATTTTGAGTTTGACAATTTGGAAAGAAGATCCGCGAATGGGAACGGCGCCGACGGTAGCAACGTGACTCTCTGGACAAATCATCGTGTGATGGAATGGCTGCGGGTCGTGGATCTTGCAGAATATGCACCAAACATGCGCGGCTCTGGCGTACACGGCGGTCTGATAATCCACGAAGGTCGATTCACCTCCGAATTGCTCGCGACATTGCTCAGCATTCCGCCGTCGAAGACCCTACTTCGTAGGCACTTGACGACGCACTTCAATCAGATCCTTGGCAGAGAAGTGGTCCAGCATAAGAGAGAGATAGAAAGCACACTCGGATTCGTTCCGCTGACGCTTACCGCCAGATTAAAGGTATGTGTTTCAGAATTTTACTTAATTACGTTATACTCGTTATGTTAGAAAGAATAATCTTATGAAATTTTTTATGATTTTACAATTTTTTATCATAATAACATAAATGTCGCTTTTTAAAAATATTAGATAATGTATAATTAAATTTTAATCAGGTACCAAAGAAATCTCAGTTCACGCTGAAGCGTAAAAAGAGTAAAAACGAAATGGATTTCGGCAATTTGGTTTGCCCATTGGAAGCATCGCCACCAGGTACCCCATCAACGCCCTCGTCAACACCGGGCAGCCCTAACTTGAACTCACCCACATTCTAACCACAATTAAAACTTCATTCGAGTAATCATCTAAACTAACTTGTAAGTCTAACTCGACTAATGATATTAAAAATCGAGTTACTGAAGCATAAGGCTATACTATTATAAATTACAACAATTATACTCTTATTCTTCTTTGCAAAAATCTATATTTCTTTGTAATATACTCGCTTTGAATAAGTGAGAATATAAAGAAAATAACAAGTGTATCTTTATTTGGCTCTAAAATTTTATTGGCTTATATCACTTTTGCAGCGGTGTATTATAGCGATCGCTTATTTATTATCAATTTTCATTCATCTTTTCATTATGGACAATATTTCCTTTTCTAAATCACGGAAGCATTGAATCGTATATAGGACGCTATTATTAATTGTTTTGCATATATTATTTATTTCATATATCTACAATTGTGTTTTATTCGGCTAAAAGAAATTGTGTTTCAGATCTGGAGGATACTGGGCAAAGGAAAATTATAGGTTGCATATGAGTGGTGGATGAAATTGTACAGCGAATTATACGTACACATTTCGGCGTGCAAAAATAAAGGGATATTTATATATTTAGACGATTGATAAAATATGAAAAACGCCGGAATCACCCGGGACCAGTTATCCGTAGCATAAATTACCTATTTAAACATACTTTGATAAAAAGTTACATAAATGAAAGCTAACTCCAACACCGCCAATCTCATTAACACGATAAATTAATAGATTCAATGATAATTAACTGCGCATTTTAGAGAATAAGTATTTTTATTACCGATCATTAAATTATAGATATAACGCAAATTGGAAATAAAAAATGCTGAATTTGTATTTATTTTCCATATCTGTTTCTACTCACTCTTAACACTTTTAATAGTATATAGAATACGACAATGCAGTAATTATATTATCTCAATCGTGTTTCTCTAGAATTATTTTTAAAATAAAAATGCTTTTTTACTGTATTGCAAACACTTTTCCATATTTTTCATAATTATTTTATAACAATTACAATAGAGAATCTCCTTAATTTTGATCCTCTGGGAAATAGAAATAGAAAATTATTGAAAAATTAAAATTATGTAAAAGAAGATTAAGTCACGAGCCTTTCGTAACCCATAATGCAATGCAAAGAATCGATTGTGCGCAGTCGCTATTGAAAAGAGATGCTAAATAAGGTAAACTATATTATTGGCTCTCGCGGCCTTTCACAATGCATCATGAGTTACGCAAGTAAATGCATACATTAAATACGAGGTTTGTTCGCGTTTTGAACTTTTTGCACTCAGCATCTTCGCTTTCACTCTCTTCAACATCCGAATATATAGATTTGTTCGCGTTGCTTGAACTTTTTACACTCAGTATCTTCGCTTTCACTTTCTTCAACATCCGAATATATATTTATCTCGTTTTCAGTGCAGAACTTTTTGGAAATTTCAAGCAACGCGGACAAACCTTATATTTATCTCGTTTTCAGTGCAAAAATTTTTGGGAATTTCAAGCAACGCGAACAAACTTATAATAACTTAACCTTCTTTTAAGCCCGTATCAGACTACGCATTGAAAATTGAGATTCAAGATTCAAGATTGAAATTTGACCAATCAAGATAAAGAAATTTTCGTCCCTTTTGTTCTGATTAGTCAAATGCCAATCTTTAATCTTCAATCTTCAATTTTCAATGCGTAGTCTGATACGGGCTTTATGAGAGTTGCGCTTTTCACCAGGATTGTCCTTGCCATTGGCTGTCGCTAGTTAACGATACCGAAAACTGTCGATAGCATGATACTGAATCCCGCTAAAGGGCCGCGTTCGAAAACACCACCCGATGCATACAAGCGTTGTTCTATCTTTGTTTAACTTTCAGTAAATAACAAAGATAGAACGACGTTCGTGTGCACACAGGTGGCGTTTTCGAACGCAACTCAGAGAGGGGAAAGAGGGCAGTATACCATAGAGCGTGTATTGTACGCTTCTACCTTTTCCTTCACTTCGTCAAGATGGTGAGTGTCTTCGCGTTGTGTTACGTCTCTAATAATCCAACGATATTGACGACATCATTGTTACATTCGCGGTTTATTTATAATAAACGGACAATCGACAATACCGGAAATAATTTTCTTTAATTATTACGCTTTCGAAAAAAATGCCACAATATCATAATTCATTTATCGTGTTGGAGAGGGATAATCGCGTTAACGCTATTCTCGATATAAGCTATAATTCTAATGGCTCATAGCACGTGTCTCACCATTTATATTACGCTTTCATTATATTTTCCTAGTCAACACACAAGAAGAAGACCAGGAAACTACGTGGACACGTGAGCCATGGTCACGGCCGCATTGGTGAGTTCACCCCCATACAATTTGTTGTAAGCATTCATGTGTATCGTAAATGCGTAAAGTTAATTAAAATATATAATAAAAGTTGTGATAAAAATGCATTTCATACTTATTTTAAATATGAAAGAGAATGTTTATATTTTTAATAATGTAAAATGTCTCTTATTGTTAGAAGTATGCAATATTGAATTGTGACTGAATACTCCTGAAATGAAAATCGCTGACTTTTCGCATGTAATCTTTCATCTTCTTATCGCATGAGTCAATTTCTGTATTTGGATTCAATTTCTGATAAAAGTACCATATACAAACTGTTTTTCAATACTGCATAATTAAATTTAAAATTTATTATTTTATAATATTGTTTGTATTTTTCAGGCAAGCACAGGAAGCATCCTGGTGGTCGTGGTAATGCTGGTGGTATGCATCACCATCGAATCAATTTCGACAAATACCATCCTGGATACTTTGGAAAGGTGAGAATGTTTCTCCAGTATGTTATATATTTGTAACAGAAGTGTTGCTATGTGTATACCGAATGATGAGAGTTTAATTTTCACCGGCGAAATGAATAACAATGATTAGATTCTACTATTGTCTGAATTATTTTTTGCATGCAAAATCTGTTATCAGGACTTTGTGTCGCATCTCTAATTGATTTTTGTTCTTTCGACAGCTTGGTATGAGAAACTACCATCTGCGACGTAATACTAAATGGTGCCCTACTATGAATTTAGACAAATTATGGACTCTCGTCTCTGAACAGACGAGACTGAAATATAAAGACGTTGAGGGCAAAGCACCTGTCATAGACCTTGTAAAAGCGGTAAGTCGGACTTTTCTTTAACTTTTTATATATGTACATATCTAATATATATATATA